GGTGGTAACCTTTGCTTATCTGGGTGATGACTGCTGGTGAGGCAATCTTCTGGTCTTTTGTCTCTTGAATAGTATGTAGATGCTAATCTCTATGTGTCTGTTAATTGCTGCTTTGTCTGAATACCAAGCTTCCAAGAATTCTCTTGCACTTTTGGATTTAGCTTGGTCTAAAATGCTGACAGTTCCCCAGTTAAAACTATGGTTAACTGAAGATGTTACCTAGCCAGATAATGAAATGCTTGCAAGAAAAGAACCAAGCTCAGAGAACCCCAAGGACTCCACAGTTCAACCTTGAGCTACACATATTTGCCTCTCTTGGTACATTTAGAATGGTTGCAGCATCTTGCCTATCTCTCTCCCCCCAGTCTCTGCCCTTTAGGCTGCCCTGCACAGCATGGCTAGATGAAGAGGCTGCTGCATTCTGCCGCCGCCCCAGCGGACCTTCCTCCTACTTCCTCCTCCTTGTCATCCTGGGGGCGGGGGCAGCGGTGAGGGGCAAGGGTGAATCCAGTGCCAACAGAGTCCCCGTACCACCCTGCCAGCCCCACTCCCCCAGCAGACCTACTTCCTCCTCCTCATCAGGGGGCAGCACAGGGGCTCTGTCAGTGTTGGGCTTGCTCCCACTGTCCCCTGCCACTGTCCCTGCCCCCAGGACGATGAGAAAAGTCTGCAGGGGGGTGGTGGGGGACAGAATACAGCAGCCTCTTCATGCTGTTCATGGCAGCCAAAAGGGCAGAGATTTGGGGGGAGATGGGTGGTGGAAGTTGAAGTGGAGGCAGTTCACGCAGGGCAGGAGAAGCGAGTCAGCCTCTTCTGGCTCAGTGATCCCCTGAAAATGTCCCTTGCCCCGGAAGAACCGAGGCTCAGGGCTGGGAGGGACCAAGATAGGAATGGTTTGGATTGGGGTGGGTCTTCACCTAATGACCGCACAGGATTCAACTAGGACTGCTGGAACTGCTATTGCTAAGCAGCGTGGTCATATGATGTTTTGCTTAATGACTGCTTCACTTAGTGATGGAGTTGCCAGTCCTAATTAGGGTTGTTAAATGAGGACTACTTGTACCAAAAGTCATCTTGCTGTGAGAATGAAGAGAATCATCTAAATAAATTAACCTAGACCTGTATAAACTGTCCTGGATACAACCAGCAAATCAGAAATTATGTAACCTACCTTCCATACAACTGCTAGTGGAATTATAAATGTGCAGCTTGGTGCTGTTCTTCCTATGTATCAGTGGGATTATGTAGCAGAAGCCCTTCTTGGATAAAAGCTGAATTCAACCTATCCAAGGCTCTCAGGATGAGGTCAATTTGCTAGGTGCTTTGGGGCACTGAAAATCAAGGGGACTGTCACAGGTGGGCATATTATGGAAACAGAAGACTAGCCTACAGGGTGCCCTGTTGTATAAGACTGACCTAAGCCACTAATGCAGATAGGTGGACCTTGGCTATATGCAACCAAGTCCCTCCAGATATTCTGGACTTCAGCTTCCATTAGCCCAATAAGCATAGCTAATGGCAAGAGGCTACAGAAGTTGAAATGCAGAGTATCTGGAAGATATTAAAACAGAGGATCTAGTGCTATTGAATACCTAGGAAAATATCTTCAGGGCCAGGATCAGGAGTTGAACAGGCAGGGAGTCCTTGAGTAATATATTCTGCCAGCTGTATGGGAAAGTTGTTTTATTATACAAAGACAGCATGAAGAGGAAATCTGTATCTTGAAAAGAAAAAGTGAATAGTCACAACAGGAAAGATAGGACAAGAATTAGTAAGTAGCTTGGCCCCAAGAAAGCCATCTATTTTCCAAAGACCTCATTGGCTCAAAGAGTACAGTCTGAATCTGCCTGTGTCCCCTCAGTTAGTGGAATTATTGCCAATTTGCAATATGAATAATTATCTGAGTTCTGTTTCTTTCCTTTCCATGATTTGCCTAAGGCATGACTTTCAGTGAATATCCTGGAGGCTGATTTTCTTTCTCACTGGACTGGGTGCACAACCCACTTTAAAAACTACCATGCTACAAAAGAAAATGGGGGAAATAAACACATTTAGGGTTCTTTCTGCCAGGACAAGCAGCTGAAGGAGCAGTGCTACATAAGCCCAGCCGTTCAGAGCCAGACTTCTGAGATTTGCGAAGAGTTAAGTGAGTTGCAGATGGACAAGCTGTCAAAATCAGAGGTGGTTCTCCCACCAGCAGAGCAACAAGAGGTAATGGTGGTGGCAAGTGCATTCTGCTTTTTGCATGCCATTGGTTACCCAAGCTTGAAATTGCATGGAATAAAACAAGGTGGGGGGTTGCATGCCATAGGGTGCATGTGAATCTTATGTTAAAGAAAAATCAATCAGAACTAGCCAGTCTTCATAATGACTGGACAGCGCTTAGAAAATATATTGTTATGAGTTCATAAAGAAGAATCTAAATAATAAATATGAAAAGTATTAATGCCAAGAAGAATTTCATTGTAAGCCTATGGTTGTTTGGGGTCCAGCTCTACTTCACTGGAATAAAAGACAGGAACAGGAAAATAGTATCCTGTGTTAATGAAGTGCAAAGTCAGACTTTCCAGTGTGAAGTAGAATGGAGCAGTGGCAGAAAGCAGCAGCCATCAGTGCTTCCCCCCCCCCCCACTTTAAACTGCCTCCATCCCAGAAAAGAAATATAATCTTTATGGTGAACATAAACAAAGAGGAGATCAGAGAACGTGGCATCTTGCCACAGAATGCTGCAGAATTAGGCAGAAGTTCAGATGAGGAGGCCAAAGAGCCAACTTGAGGGAATGTTGCAGGAAGGTTGCTATTTTTGAAGACTTGGCTCTATACAGGATACTACACTAAGCCTAAATTCTGCAAGGTCTCATATGATGAAGTTTAAACTGTTAATCTGTGTGGGAACTATCTTAAGAATCATCTCAGAGCTGAGCTGAAAGTCCACATTCAGGTACATTCAAAGTAATAGAAGCAGGGGAGAAACAACACTTCTTTATTGAAAGTTTTATTTTCCCGGGAGCCCTATCTGACCAATCATGTATCACAGTGCACCATTCTAGCTAGATGGAAAGCAAGCATAGCTGTATTGATCTATGAAAAAAAAATTCAAAATCTGCAATTTGATATAATATCCTTACTGTATTAGGATCAACCAGAACAACTCAAAAGAGCATGCAAGCTTTTGAATTTCCCAGAACTCTCAATCTGGAAGGATGTTGTAAAAATGAAGGCATGGGGAAGAAGAAAGTAAGTTCTAAAATAAGACTGGATCTTATAGCCTTGAGGTTTGTGGATCAGTCTCAGGATAAAGTTTGTAAACTGAATGCCTTTGGTAGTGGTGGGTAAAAAAATCAGGAGTCTGGTAGCACCTTTTTCTACTAACACGTTTTATTAAAAGGCAGAAGTTTTCATGAAAACTTCTGCCTTATAGTAAAATGTGTTAGTTGAAAAAGGCGCTACCAGACTCCTGACTTTTTGTCACCATAGAGTAACAAAGCTCTCCTCTTACAAAGGCTAGCAGTGGGTGTAACTGACACCAGGAACCATTCTGGGACAAAGAATTCACCCAGTATTCAGGGAATCCTATTTACTTTGCTTCTCAATGCCAGGTGAAATCTGACACTTGTTACTCCTACCTAATAAAAAAATACATTTGGTCTACAGAGCCCATATGGCCATGGCTGCTGATGAAAATATTAGGTTTTCTTGCTTCTTCCCCATCCTTTCTTTTTATGGACTCTTGCCTGATGAAGCATTCTGGAGAATTTGAACATGTGCTTTATGGCATTTTGGTGGAGCTTAATGAAAATACTCCCCAACTGTGAATTTTGCACACTCTCCTAGGAGCATTCCCCACTATTGACTCAAAGTGCTGCCCACCCATCCTTGAGTCAGCATAAAACCATGCCAGGCATAAAACTGTTGTCCCCATTGCCAATTCCTATCCTGTTTCTGTTGTACCTGTTCCAAGTTTAGGATCTGTATACCAGGACACTGACATTGATTAGCAGTTGGGCAACCAAAAAGCATTACCAATGTTACATACCTGGACCTTGAGTTGGAGAGAGGCCAGCTTGAAGGGGAGAACAGTACTTTAATACACTGAATGACAATTCAGGCAGTTTCATTCACGAGTTAAGGACAAGTTCAAGTCATGGGACCAAGGTGGAAGATGTGTTGTCAGAGCATGAATGAGCATGGTGAAGTGCAGACAAGACATAGGTTCTGAAAGCCAGTGGAAAAAGCAGCTGCTCGTTGCTGGTAGATATACCACTGCCAAGGAAGTTGGGAGTAAAAGGATATTATTGCTAGATTCCAATCAAATTTCACTTGCTCCTGAAATTTTTCCAGTGCCTCTGAATACCCTGAAAAAATTGATTCTGGGAACGGGGAAGGTATATCACTTCAAAGTGCAGTACTGTAATACTTCTCTTCTTTGCTAACTCCTGTCTGCCTTTGTGTACTCTGCTTACCCATTTCAAACAAAAGTCAGATGTTGTGTGCAAGGATTTTGGAATTTTTGCATGTTGAGCCACAAATGTTACAATTCTGCTATAGTAAAGAAATGATGGGTGGGAAAACATGTTGGCGTAAAATGGGGGATCAAAGGAGCTGCCTCACTTTAAAACAGTCTTCTTTGAAAAAAAACCTTGAGTGCTTTTTCCGTTAGTTATCCATTAGTCTAGCACTCATTAGCCAAGCATACCAAAAACTAGGACCAAATTTGCTTCTTCTTAGGCTACTGGTCAAACACTGTATACATATTTCCCTTTAAAAAAACCCAAATAAAAGGACCAGGGATTTGCTTTTGTTTTTTGTTTTAAAAAAGGCGAACAATTCTACAGGTTTGAAATAACTGCTGTCCTCCTTAATTATTGTTATGATGAAGATGGCATAGCTTTCCGTTGATCCCACAAAATGCTTCATTTCTCCCCCCCCCCAACCCAACCAGCAGCATTCACATTGCTTTACACTGAGCTCTCATCTCTTACTGTGCATTGTTTTTAATTGTGTTTCTTTGTTTTTGGTTTCTTGACTATCCCCCCTGTGGTTGTGCTGCTGAGCTCTACAAATATTATAATCTTTCCTTTTGTCACTGCCTGGTAATTCTTGCTGCAGACCCTGTTATTCTCTGTTTACCTGAGTTAATTCAATCTGCTACTTCTTTCGGTTGGAATCTTTGCTTTCTACTTTCCCAGAATTAGTACCAGGAACCACCAAAGCCATTGGAGACCCTAGAATTTTGTTCTTGTTCCACTTAGATGCCTGCTTTGAGGATCAGAGATTCTAATACTTTGAGAAATGACTTTCAGCATCCTTTTCTCAAGGCAAAGTCTCTTGATGCAGGAATCTGCTCTTTGGGAGGGTTAGGAGAATATGAAGCTAATAGCAACTCCCAGATATTTGCATCAGAACATGGAGCTAAACAATAATTTTCCTCAAATATCACATTCCTGAATTTCATCATATGAAATTCCTAACTGCATAACTTTATATTCAGAATTTAATCTCAATTGTTTTCAGTGTGCTTACTGTAGGCTAATAGATTGTGTTGTAGCCAAATTAGCAGAATGAAACAACAGGCACAACTCGTGCCCAGGACTGTCTTCCAGGGTGTCAAAAAAGTGAAGACAGGGCTGCAACCACATGATTGAAGCCCTGTCCCTTTTTACATGTGTTGCAGTGCACCTAAAACTGTGGCACACATAAAAAGGGACAGGGCTTCAATCTTGTGGTTGCAGCCCTGTCTTGACTTTTTTGACACCCCTGCAGACAGCCCTGGGCACAACACACTGAAACCTAAACCTGTATAAGAAAACCGTTGCTGTGTTCACATAGCATGCTGAGCCCAAACAGATCAGTTATATTATTGTGACATAATGTGACAATCTGATTTACAGAGCATATTAAGACAAAGGCTGGTTTCCTGCAACTTGCTAAATCACAACCATCACATTCTCCTTTAGCCTAGTTATTTTGTGAACTCAGCTAATGTGTCTTTCTTTTCAAAACACGATGAAGTGGTTTCGAAAGTTAGGATCTTGGTTTCTTTAATAGCATGGGGTTCTATTCCCCAGAGCCAATAACATAGGTAGCAATTCTAAATGCATGGGTGATAAATTCCGTTGGATATACATGGGGTTAGACTGCTAAGTTCTGTGTCCTCTCCCCACCATGTTTTACCTTGCATTGCCTTTGCTGTTGTCAACTATGTTCCCTCGGAAATAACTTTGGCAGCACATGGTCAACCTTGTCTGGACTAGGAAGATACCTCATCCCAAACTGACAGATGACCTCTGTCAGTGGCTTCATATAGTTGTTAAGTAACATACGGGAGACAACTGAGCACTGCAGTTTTAAAATGCTTCTGTATAGTTACTTTTCTCTACAATTTTGCTTTTTGTTTATAGCAAGCTTCGCCCTTTTTCAATGCTTGTTGGAAGCCATGTGAATCTCTTGAAGAGTTCTTTCTTTCCATCTTTTATCCTTTTCAGAGCTGACTGAATCATGCAACACAAGCAGGCTTTGTTTAAAAAAAAATCACAGCAACTTCCGTTAAGACTAAGTGATGAAGTCTCTGCTCTTCTTTCTTCCCTAGAAATTCGATGAAATCAGCCTGTCGGAAGGAAGTACGGTGGATTTGGCAATTCCGTCAGATCTTCTGGAACAGATGCCTGAACTGGCAGAAGAACTGATGGAACCTGAAGATTGTTTCCCAGAATGTAAGGATGAGCTGCTTTTCTCTTGACCGGAACAATTCAGGAGCACAGCAGATGTCCTGCTGATAGAAATGAACAATCCACATGAGGCAGCTTGTACAGGGCTGTTCTGCTAAGGACCGCAGCTGGAGAATTACAGCCTTTGAAAGGAAACAATTGCTGGCTTGGCTGATTAAAGAATAGCCTAAAAAATGACCTCTACTTTAGCCTAGTCTCTCTCTGCATTACCATAATAGAACTCTAACCAAGTTCTCTGAGCCCCAGTAAGGAAACCCCATTCCTTGGGCCTGGTGAAGTAATCCAGGAAAAGCTGTCTCTAGTTCAGAGTGGAGTGACATTATCCTTTACATGCTGGCAAGTTTGCAGCTGCCTCTCCTATCCTTCCTAGACACGAATAACTATCATATGCATGAATGAGGGATAGAATGCCCATTTTACATGGAAGAGGATATAGGTTCAGCTCCTGTCATCCCTAAGGAAGGTTGGGAAAGATCTCTGCTTGGAATCCTAGGGAAGCGATGTTGCATATATATTACACTCTCATACAGTGGAGAGATAGAAGGAAAAAATGTTCCTTCTACAACATTCCTTTCTCCTTAAAGCCTGTTTGACTTGTCTTTCTCTTATCTGGCCCTGTTTCCTCTTGCCTTCCCTGTCTTTCTTTACATCATTCCCTTCTATTCTTCTCATTCTGTCCCAATCCATCTTTTTTTTCCCAGTAGGGTGTGAGTCCTTCGAGGTAGCCAGGTCAAAAATAAGGCATGGCAGGGATTCCAGGAATATTCTTTGTTGTAGTAAAATAGAATAGCAGAATCTGGAAAGCCTGTGCAAGTTTCTCTCTGTTCCATCTTATACTGAACAAAATCAAAATTATGTAATTTTGAGTTTCTTTGTCACAGTCCTTTTTCTCAGGACTGTGTAATCTTTTCTGCAAATCCTCCCTTAATGGCTCATTAATTCCTTCCCCATCCCCATGGTCAGCTCTAAACTCCTTTACATTGGGCAACCATGACATTCCAGATGTTATGGAATCTCAGCTTCCATTACCAACAATCAATGGATGGAGGTATTGGAGGTTATGACAATTTGTGGAGAGCCAGTTTCCTCATTCCTACACTACATTTTCACTGGCAGGGCCCACCCATGATGCTATACCATACAGTTTGGTTCCATCAATGGTTTGAACCCAGTTACTGTACTTTGTAAATCTTGGTTTATGGCTGAGCTTGCAAGGACCAACCAATATGACTCTTTCACCAAATCTTGGTTAGTCAAAAGTTGGCTTAGGGGTTTCATGGAACAGGTAGAGAGCCACGAAGCAAAACTGAGTGGGCCTAATTTGGAGGAGAATGTGGGGTGTTTTTTTTTAAACAGGGGAGGGTCAGAAAAAGTACCACAAGTTTCTATAAACATTAGTGCAATATGTGAACCCTTTCATTATTTGCAAAGCAAGAATTCTGCATCCACATCAATGCTTGATTAGAATGTATATTTATAATTAGTATTCTCTCCTAATCAATAATAACAAACCAGTTTCATGTGTAAAATTTCAATTTTGCAAGGACTATGTCAAATTAAGTTTTTGAGTCCTACTGATAAAAAACAGGATAAGTTACCCTTCACAGGTCTGAAAATTGCTGTACCAAGCAATCTAATAAACCCCAGGAATGTGAAAAATCTGTTTCTAAAACATGTAAGGGATTGAAGCAGTAGAATAAATATGAGAATGACCCATTAGAACATTGCAAATTCATTGAAATTCTGCTTAAATTTAAGAGTCCCAGCACCAAAACTGGGATAAGCATCTGAGGAGAAAACTAAATGGTATTTTTAAAAAGTGAGCTTCTCCTTGTTGAGCTTTCTCATTCTCACTACTGGGTTATTAAACTCATATCATATCCAGATTTTTAAATACTGGGCAGGCATTTCTCTATCCCCAACTTTTCACCATGAGCTGTCATTGAGAAGGACAGTAAAGTACTCAGGCAGGAGGACAAAAGATCCACCCAACAGACTTAGGAAACTATTTGACCTGAGACGGGAGTTATCTGAAGAACTGCCTTCTCCCACTTGTCCATGTACTAAGACACTGTTCTTCCCCCTCCCTTGGGTCTCCTCACAATAATTTTTTGAGGGAGGTATTTACTTCCTTACTAATTAGATGTACATCCCCTACCCTTTTTCCAGGAGCTCAGGATAGCATATGTAGCATTCTGTCCTCCAATTTTCCCTACAATAACATAATTGTGAGATATATCAGGTTGACAAAGAAAGTAGCTGGCTCATAGTTACTCACCTAGCTCCCATGACTGATGGGGGGCTTGAACCCGGGTCTCCCAGGTCCTGTCCAATCTCTTAACCACTGTCTCTCAGTGGGGCCTGTCTGAGATTACTTTGAACCAACCTCTTGCTTGCTTGCTTCTCACCTGATTCAGTACAGGGGTTCACCAGAGGAGGCTCTGTTTCCACAGAGAGGTTACATGGGTGGCTACTGTAGGCAGCAGAGCCTTCTTAGTTGAGGCATCCCAATTTGGAAAAGTTTCTGTGGACAGATTCACTAGGCCTACATTTTCTAGATGAAGACTGTTCTCTTGTCTTTTGCTTTAAATGCAGCCTAGCAGTGAATTGGTTTAAGCTTCCTTTGTCACCTTGCTTTCTTTTCAATAATTTTTATTATTTAACTTAATTCTTCTGCAAGGGTTGCTTGCAGAAAATGGAGAAAAATGGAGTCTAAGTTTCCCCACCATTTCCTCTCCTCCCATTCTGCTGATCTGCAGCCATTTTCTGTAACCTTTAGCTGATTACATAAAATGATGTGACAATTTTTTTTTCAAGATTAAAGCATTCCAGGTTTGGGGAAACCCAGTTCTACCTGCCACTAAAATGGAAAGATGAGAAGGGAGAAAAATACTCTTAATTCTCCATCTAATATACGCAATTACTCAAAAGGCATGAAGTTCCATTGCAACTGATTGTTCCCTGGGGTGCTATGAGTGGAAGCAGGAAATGGGGGAATCAAGATAGGAACTAAGATGTGATGAGCTGTCAGAAAGCTGCAAGCATACACATCCCCAAGGATTATTTAACTTGGGAACAAGCCTGCTCCAAGGAGATTAGTTGGAGATAACTTGCCAGGCATAGGATATGAAAGATGATTGAATGAGATAATAGAACCCCCACAGGACAGGGAGAGGCCCTGAAATCTAAGACATTTTCTTTGTGGTTTTGCTTCCATGCAACAGTCAAACATTAATGCAGTCAATGGAAAACAGCACAGTATAGCAGAGTAAGCATTTTGGCATATGCAACTGTCAGCCCTTCAGATAGACCAGATTAGGAAACCAAACTCATGCAGGCCAATATTACTTTTATTATAAAGATATTGTGACTGAATCTTGCAAGTCTGAATGTGCTTCCTCCCTCCCTCGATTTATCTTCATAAGAACTAGGGAGGATTTTGTCTAAGTTGTTTTCTCAGGTTACAGTTCTGCCTCAGACTCAGGTTTCTTTTATCTGAAAATTCTCTTGGTAGTAGCTCTTCCTCCTGTTCCTCAAGGCCATTCCCTCTGTCTACTACAGCAACTCTTGGAGAGATTCTTTTCAAATACTTCTCTTTCTGTTGGCTTTCAAGACCAACATGCTTGTATTAAATTGCTTTACCAGTCCCTCAGTTCCAGTTTTTTCTGGGTGATATGAATTACTTACAGTAACCTCAGTTTGGTGGCTGAACCAGGATTAGTCACCTGCTGGCTGATCCTATAGCAAGAATTGGACAACAGAGCTTTTCCATTTGTGCTATTAGACTACTGAATAGCTTCAAGACCTTCAACCAAGGCATCTTTCCACACCAAACAGGGGACAATTTTAGTTTCCCTGGTCTTTCTTAGATGATCACTTTCAAAAAATGGTGCTGGGACATTTGATGTATTCTTAAATAAATTATGGGTTTCATGGAACTTTTGTTCCCTCTGTTATTACCTGAAATCGCTGGAAGAAATCACCTGAGAACTTGGACTCTCATATCACCAATATGCAGATGACATTCAGCACAATTTCTTCTTTCTGTGTTATTCCAGGATATTGTGGACACCCTGAACCACTGCCTGGGAGACAACAATGGACAAACAAATTCAAACAAATAATTCAAATTGTCCATCGGCCCTTTTTGTGACCTAGGGCAAATCCAGAAATAGGTTCAAACAGTATTGAAAGGAATGGCACTTCCTTTGAAAAATGCAAGTTCATGCTTTGGGGGATCTTTTGAATGCAGCATTGACTAAGGTCTTTAGGAATTCCTTTGCCCATCAAGGCACTCTTCCAGTTTCTCTTAAATTTTGCCCTTATAGTGAAGTGACAGTGGTGTGGGTGTTCTCTGAGACCCCTTCACCCACAGCACTTTCCTTGGAGGAAGATGCCCTTCCTCATAGGAACTCCAGAGGGCCGTATAGGAGCGATGTTCCTGCAGCAACAAATACTACTCAAAGTTATTGGAATTGCTTGCCCATGAGTGTGCAACAGGTGCTGAGGAGCTGGCAGCATTTGATAGCCCTGCAGATGGGGATACAATTTCCAATTCCTCCAAACTAGCTTGAACCTAGTAGTTCATCATGGCTCATGGCAGGCTTGCCCTGGGTGTTGTCCCTTTAATTCTTAAAAATATGTCTGATGGTTCATCTATCAAGCTTTGTGTCATCAAACATGGTGATCAAAGCCAAGCTAAGGGCAAGGATTAGCAGGCTCTGTAGTGACATCTCCAGGGGCCAAAAGATGTGGTGCAGCTTGCAAGCTATAGGTTGCCCATACCTGATTTAAAGAAATAGATGGGAAGAAAAATCCACTCTTCCCTTATTTACCTTCCCAATTCTGCTTCTTTGGGATTTTCCCATAGCCTCCATTGTGACTTACTTCCAGTCCCAGAACTGGACTCTGGGAAAATGTTTTAAAGGTATTGAATTGAAAGGCATGGGAAAGCCTGGTGGATCTTGTTTCAACACTCCCCAGTTTCAATTCAATTTTAAAAGTTAATTCCCTAATCTCCA